TGTATAAAATAATAAATAAATAAATATGTGTACATACATTTCATATTACTTCATATTATCAAAAATATTTCTATATGACATATTCATTCTAATAGACAATACTTCAACCAAATAAAGTCGTCATGAATATCTTGTCTAGCTTTTTCTGATATATTTGTACTATTATTAAACATTATTATAAGTATTATAAGTATTTTTGGTTTATGAAATTAAATTGCAACCAAATGGATGAAATCTGTTTATCTTAAATTGGGATATTAAAATAATTTTGTTTATGTACTGCGACCTTCATCCTTCCACAATTCCAAACAGATTTTGTATGTAAAATTATATTTTCCTCTCTAACAAAGGAGTAAAAATAAATTTAATTTTGATTGTTGTTGAAAACCATTTTTTCATCTAATAAAAATGATCATGAAATAACATAGCAATATTTGGGTTTTCATTCATATCCTCAAGAACCTCAAGAGCAACACAATTGTGTGCAAATATGTACCGTAAATATAAAAATATGTCCTGGCTGCATATAAATACATGCATGGCTCGTAAGGAGTATGAAAATAACAAAAACAAACAAAATTAAAGTTAAAAAGGGTACAAACAATTTTTGGCAATTGATATTCTATTAAAATATACTTAATATTAAAAGCTTTTAAAATTAAATTAATTCAGTGTAACCTTTAAAAAAATTTGAAAAAATTCCATATATGTTATGGAATAATTCTGTTATGTGAGAGCCTACGCATGGCAAGGCATTTACTTTTCATGCATACAAAGTAGCAGGTATACGGCGGACCACATCCAAAAAAAACAAAATCGATGTTTGAATAAAAGAAAATGTTATTAAACCAATTTAATTTGAGATGAGAAGATTACTTTGAAAATATTTAGGATACTTCTGTAAAAAATATTTTTGATTAAATTGAAAATATTTTAATTTATGCAATTTTTTGGGACGTGTTTAAGTTAATTATGAAACTATTTTATATAATTAAGTTTGAAAAATAAAGTGTTTATTGAAGCTTTTGATTAATTGCTGCATAGGGACTCTTAGTGAGAATAATGGAAAAATTAGCTTTCTCCTTAACTTTTTCGGAATTTCTTTTTCTTAGTTGAAGTTTACTTATTATATGATTTACTTATGGATCGATATCAGTAAAAATAAGTCTTTTGCCAAAAAAAGTCTTTATTTTATTTTGTTAATTAATTATTTATTGAATGTTAATTTGCTGTCAAAAACAGGACAGCAGTTAAGGCGTGCGTCTATGACAGGACTGTAATTAGTATTACTTAAAAATTAGTAAAATAAAGATATAAAATGTATATAATCAGCACATTATATACATTATAAAAATATTTCAATAATATATGTATAATAATGTATAATGGAAATGCAAAATCAATTTATTAAATATTATTAACAGATTTATATATATTACATACAAATTAAATTATTATGGCCAATCACAAAAAGTCTCTTATAATTTTAAGTCCAAAAAATTAAGTCAAGAAATTAGTGATTATTGCAAATGACCTTAGAGCTGATTTTCGGGTGTCGCTAAATTTTTACTTTATTGATTTTTAAAAACATTTATTCTTTTAATTGTTAATATATTATTTTTTAAGATTATTATTAGAAGTATCACATTAAAACTGAACTTTTGCAACTGGAAATTTTATAATATATTATGCAATTATGCCATCGGGCATAGTTACCTTATTTTGGCCTTTTACTTTCAGTTCACATTTCTTACTATATTTTTTAATACTGATATAATCATGTTTGTTCCAAAGTTCTTTAGCCAACATTTGTTTCCACCTAAATATTACAAGAATCCTTCAAAGACATTTATCCACGGTTGCCACTTATGGGACTTTAGTACCAAAATTGGTACTTTTTTTTCCGTTTGGTACTCTGGTACTCATGTTCAAAAAATGGTACATTTTCGGCGACCCAACTTTATTGTGGATATTTGTATTGTTTTATACTTTTTGTACATTTTATATAAATTGTATTTTCTTATAAAAAGACAATAGAAAAATTTTGGACCTTTTTTTACAGAAATGGTACCTTTTTAAACCAATTTTGGTACAGAAAAAAATTTTCAAGTGGCAACCGTGCATTTATCAACTATTTGTTGAGAGTATAACCACCTCCAATTAATTTGGATTTCAAAATTGCACAGAACTATTTTGCAAATATGTTATTTTACGTATAATAATTATCTAGCTCCCTGTTTTACAATTAGGATATTTCCGACAACAAAAAACGTATCATCTAAAATTCATATTATAAATTCATATTATATTAAACTTGAATTATGTTTTAATGCAAATAAAATTTATTTTATACATTTTAATTTTTTAACCAAATGAGAATTATAATGTGTTAAATATTATATGTTATATATGTTGAATTATTTTAAAACGTTTTGAAAAAAAAAATATTCTTACAAATATGATGGCATAAGTAAAAGTATTCTGTAAGTATTAGTTACAGCTAATTGCACAATGACTATAAGTAAATTTTTGAAGCAAGGAAGTGACTTGATTCCAGTATTCGAAATAAATATCATTTGCACTCAATGTAAGTATTTGTGATCACAACTAGTTAAACCTTAAAATCTTATTCATTATTCATATCACTTAGAGCTGGAAAAAAGAAATTCACTTTCGTTTCGAAATTATTTGCTTTTATTAGTGATATTAACTTTTCAGTAGTGATATTAACCAAACAATAACAGACATAGTTGGCCGCTTTCAAATTGGTTGCATTGAGTGCCTTTATATCGTTGGTCACTTACTTATTATACTTAAGATGCGGAGATTTTTTACCACATTTTCTGCCTACCGCTACGGAATCACACACTTTTCTAACTGGAGCACTTTCTTCTATTCGCACGTGATGACCAAGCCAGCGAAGCTGCTGAATTTTTATACGCTGAACAATGTCAATGTCGCTATATAGCTTGTATAGCTTATTATCGTTCCATTTAATTCGGTACTCGTTGCCAATGCATAAGTGACCATAGATCTTCCGATAAATTTTTTTTAAAATGCTCTTATTAGCTTTTCATAACTGTTGGTTATTGTTAAAGCTTCGGTACCATATAGATTTTTTTTTTTAGATTTAAAAAAGAAATGTGTTAGGAACTTGTCACTACATTATATTGTGGCATATCCACATTAGTTTCATAGGCGAGCAGCAGTTAAGAACGCCATTATGTACTTTGGAGAGATGTTGTCAAAGTCCGTTATAAGTGGATAGGAGGTGGATAAGTACCGAACTCTGAGTTTGACGAGACTAACACAGTGACACAGAATGTGTTCTACTGTTTCATCTTCTTCACAACAAAGTCTGCAGCTATCATTTCTACTAATGCCTTGGTTTAATAGTTGCATTTTAACTCCGCAATGACCAGTGAGAAACCCTTTGATAATTCTGTTGAGCATAAGTATATCCTCGGTACCATATAACTAGAGGGATATGATAAGAGTTAAAACAGAGTTTTGAATGATAAGAGCATGGTTCTTTCTAGTCGAGAGTAGGCTTTATTTCTCAATTGCTTACTTAGCCCGAAATAACATCTGTTAGGTAGAATGATTTTATGTTAAATATTTAGGTTAATAACATTTTCGGTTTTTACGCTGGTTCTCAAATAAACAAATTCTTTTTCAACTTAGAACATTCAGTTGACATAGAATATATAAGTTATCGTTGTCATATAAGTTAACATTACACTTGTCATTTAAGTTATAAGAATCCATGCCGTTTCGATCAAAAGCCAGAACTAGGGAGCTACTTATGCTGAACAGAAGTGGCATCCGACTTGTCACAGGTTTTCTAACTGAACTGCGGAGTTAAAAAACATTTATTGAATCTAGGTATTACTGGAGACGATAGCTGTAGACTTTGTTACGAAGAAGAGGACACATATTGTGTCACTGTGATAGTCTTGCAAGACTCAGACTTCGCTACTTATCCATTGCCTATCCGCTTATAACGGAATTAGGCAACATCTCTCCAAAGGACATACTGGCATTCTTAACTGCTACTCGTCTATGGAACTGAAGTGGGTATGTCACAATAATCCTCGAGGATGCAGTGACTCGGAGACTACTTCCCAACCCTTCTTTATTGTAATTGTAATTGAATGTAATAATGAAATAAATTGTTTAGTGTAAAATTTAAATTTAAATTTTCCAATGTTCATCAAAAATGCAGAAAGAATATTGACTGATTTTTTATACTCATATAGCTTAATACCATTTAAATGGAAATTGCAAAGTCATATACAAAATTTATTTAAAATAATTCTGTTAATAAAAACCACAAATACTTGTTGTCGATGAAATTGTTTGTTTAAAAAATTATTCATATTAAATGAAAAATTACGTTCAATGTACTTTAATTTATTGCTTTTCAATAAAATCACTTATTATTGAAAAATTCTGCAAATTCTCGTAAATTCAACAGACTGTAAAATATGCATGAAAATAATATATAAAAGGACTACGTGTATGTTAGGATCACAAAAAACTTTTGGTAAAATAACAACAAAAACAAAAAAAACATAGAAACAAATCAAATAAAAATAAACAACGAAAGTTCAATGAAATTTAAAATAAGAATTTCACAGTTTCTTGGTCCTTTTGACGGAATGCATGCTCCTGGCTATTTAAACTGTTAACACAATGAAGAAATGAAGGAATGAAGGAATGAAGGAACACAATGACAGGATATTTTCACCTTCTCTGTTTGTCTTTCATTTCAGTTCCCTGACTATTATTTTATATCGCATTTAGTATGAGTTTTGTTATTCTTTCTCTACTAAGTATGTAGGTAACATTTTTTGAAATAAGTTTTAACATAATAATTGCATTTTGTATGTTTTTCCACACTTTTGCCCTTTATTTTTAGCATCCTTAGTTTTCGTCTTCATTGAGTTTTCCCTTTTCAAATTTTACAAAATTTACAAAACACACAATTTTGACCTTTCGGCAAAATGAAAAATAAATGAAAACAGAAAATTGTTCATACGTTGTTCGTACATTCTCTCATACAGAAGACATAGGTAAATCCGGTACAGCCTTTCGGAGAGAAAGTTTTTGGTTTGGAAATTGCAAAGTCAACTGAAATACAAAGTGAATTGCAAAACAAAAGTAGAAATAAAAATTAAAAAAAAAAAATATGTAAAAATTAAATTTAAAAAAAACGCGCCAAAAAAAGTTAAACAGAAACTTTTTTAAGTGTACACGGAAATTTCCCGGAAAATTGTGCACGCGTTAAGACGTCTTTATTAGCTCGGCGAGATCTCTGCACGTGTGCAAGTGTGTCAGGGTTTCGCTAGCTCGGAAAATTCTATAAGAACTGCCAGCTGAGAAGAAAAAAGAAGTTCTAACGCAGCCACAACGAAATGAACAAAATTTAATTTGAAGCATGAAATGATTTAAAATCAGGTGAGTTCATAATTTCACATATTTTTCCATTTCAGCATTGCACACTTTTATTTATTTTACTTAATTTTACATTTTTCCTCTTAAAAGGAAAATAAAAATGAAAATAAAAATAAAGAAAATGTAAAACTCATTTTATATCCAATAATTCATTTTTATGTAGTCCTTTGAGTTCAGCGTTTTAAATGCATTGAAAATGCTTTATTCTAACATTCAATCATTTGCGGTTGATTCTTCGAATTAATGTACTTGGTATAATATATATATATAAAAAAAATAAAAACTATATCTCATCTCATTTCAAGTTAAAAAAATTATTCCTTCATTTTATTTGCTATCTTTTGCGGTCAGTTTTCCACTTTTGGTAGTGCGTATGAATAATTCATGATGAGTTGCTGCAAGCCAATGAGATTGAACTCAATATTTTTGATAGTTGATTGGTTTTTTTGAAATAAGAAATAATAAATAAATATTTTTATTTATTTTTATTTATGCTTCATTTCACTTTACACCTGTATTTTGGATGATGTGATGATGTATTTATAGTACACATATCTAAGTATGAATCATTAAATATATCTGACTAATGCTATATATCGATTATTTCATATATCTCATATATATATATTTGTATGATTGTAATTATAATTATTATTTATACTATATAATAATATTATATAATTAAATATAACCTAACCTATTAACTATAAACTCACTGACTAATGCTATATATCGAATTTTTTCTATTTCCTACATATGTATAATTGTAATTATAATTATTTTTTATGTTATATAATAATAATATATAATTAAATATATTTTATACAATCACTCAACAATGCAATATATCGAATTTTTAATGTTTTCTTATAAATATCTAATTAAATAATTATAATTATAATTATTATTTGTATTATATAATAATATTATATAATTAAATATACTTTATATAATGACTGACTAATGCTATATATCGATTTTATGTTGTGTAAATATATTATATAATTAAATATATCTTTTATAATAACTGTTTAGTTATATATCAGCATATACCGAATTTTCTCTTTCTTCTTATAAATATTTAATACAATTATATAACTATAATTATAATTATTATATATACTAAATAATAATAATAATTCTGTCCCAAAAAATGTACATTCAACCGTGGTTATAAATATAAAAATTGAATAATTTTTATTTATTTAAATTATTTATAATTTAAATGAGAATGAATTAAAACAACTTAAATTATCTCAAACTAATTTTTATTTCATTTTCTATATTTCGTCTATAATCAAAAGTCGTCTTCAGGAAACTCACAATTTTATATCAATATTCAACACATTCAACATATAAAAATAAATAATGGTACACAGAATATGTATATAAATATAAGAAAATATATTAATAGTTTTTAAAACTTAACTCTAAATTATTGTAACTAAAACTTATAATTATAAGTAACACCTATTTGTTGATGTATAATATTTTTTAAAATTGGATCTGATGTTGTGTGGGATTATCAATACCATTAAAAATAATTTTTGATCATAATATAATAAATAGAAAAATTACAGAAATTATAGGAAACAATGTTAGAACAACAGAGTTGCCGATATACTATTGATCATGGATATGTGACGCTATTAAAAATAACTTTACGGCCAGCCCAGAAAATTTAAATTTTCTCGGTTTCATTTTTCTTATTGGAAGTATTCATAACATATAAATAATTTTAAAGTATAAAATAATGCTAATTGTGAATACTATTGAATGTTATTTCTGTGTTATGTTAGAATAAATTAATAAAATAGGATATCCATGTTCAAGTTAAACGACATCAATACTTCAATCCTTGAATAAATTGAGTTTAATGAACAAAGTGAGTTGTTGATGAAACAGTTTTCCATTTTTAACTAGAAAGAACACACAAAGTAACAGGGAACAGTCGTTATAATTTCTGTTATCGATATCATAAGAAGTAAAAACTCTAAAAAAGACATTCATAAAACACAACACTAAACTGAATCAATTAACTCCTGATCAGATCAACAAAACCAAATATAAACTAACATTATATTCGTTAGTCATTAGCAACGTAATATAAACCATCAAAACTTATTTTGTCGTCTTTAAAGTAGACTTCCTAGAGTGCAATACCACAATACCGCTTAAAACTCCATATATCTTAAGTGGACTGTTTGAAATATGTCCTTTAACTTTTTCAGCGAATTTTTTTGCAATCAAATCAAAATTTCTCATAGTGCACGTTATGATATGTTTTATGAAGTTAAGTTTAGTAAAAGTTCATGAAATCACTTCTTCAACTGTTTTTAGGCAAGTACTATTTAAATAAAATAATGGCTTACGTTACTAATAAGGCTATTAATAGAGGTACGTAGAGATAAAGGCGCAGGTCCCAATTGAGTCAAAATAATCTGCAGACGAGCGGCGTTAAAGGAAGGCGTGGTAAAAATGAAGAGGAGATAGAATCCGGTCATAAAATAGTTTTCTGTTTTCATTTTTCCTTCAATGTCAGTAAAATTATAAAACTTATATAATACTTTTTTTTGGTCTACATCCACAGTAAATTACTAAGGTGCGATATAGTTAAGATCATATTAGTCAGTGCTAAATAGGCTGTGGCGAAGGTGCTAGCAGTTGCAAACACTATTCAACTGTTAATCAAAGTGTACGAGATTTTTTTCTATGGGTCTAGACAGTAGTCCATAGAAGCAACATAGTAGACGCAGCAGTTCAGCTGTTGGTAGTGCTAAAATTGGCACTGCCTCGACATTTCATTCTTCTCACGCATGGCATGAGGAAATATTAAGATTTTTGTAGTATAATCCATTAAAAAAAAGTATTCTTTAAAATTACTACATCTTTACATATTTAACGTAATATTTAAAATACAAACAAGAGCAGATCATGTTGCGGAAAATTCAATGAAAATGGGAAAAAATTACTTTATCCCAAATATGTGTCATGACATCAAAATCCCATGCAACTTACTTAAGAACTGACCTACTTGGCACTTTCACTGTAAATAAATAATAAAAGCGATAAATTTAACGCAAAAAAGCCTTAAATAAAAAACATTGCTTCATGAAAATTTTTTCTAATTTTAAATTAATTGTTTTACGTAAAACATCTGTAAACAATCAGTTTTTTGTTTTATTATTTTTGGTAATTTTGTTCAATTTCTGCTTAAAATTATGTGCAAAATCATTAATTGCCCCCCAGCAGGCGAGCATTTATGAAGCTTTAAATATTCTTCACGATTACTGCGAACTTTCGAAAAAAACCAAAAATTAAATAATAATTTTTCTTTTTATTCAAATCAAAAACTTTTACATTTTGTTCTTTTCCCAACTTCAAGAACCAAAACTTATACGAAAGGGGAATGCAGAGCAAGACATTAGCAGATTTTTCATTCATAGTTTTCCATTTTCTTCGCACTGTTTGATTCGTTAATAAAACTTTTCATAGAAAACGAAATTATTTTTCTTTTTTTTTTTTTCAAGACAATTTTAAAATAAGATTCGCGCTAAGTAAAATGAAAATATCTGCGCGGAGTGAAAGTTTTCCTTTATGAGTTTTCTTCGGTGCAACAAGTGTTACTTACTTTGAAGGAAAATACTTAACAAGGTTGTGTTTTCCAGATGATGGAAGCCCTTAAGCGTCTTTGCGGTCCTTTTAATGGATTTTATTAGGAAATGCTACCGAATAAAAAAAATTATTGTTAATGCCACATTCTTTGTTGAAAAGTTTGGAGAGAAAGCAAAATAATAGTTGTAACAAATTTGTGCTGTTGTCTTTCATTAGTAATTGAAAGAAACTAAAGTAAAATAAAATTAATTAGGAAAAAAAAAACAGGGATTTGTGCGACGAAAGACAAAATGTAATTGAGAATAATAGAAAGTTGCTTCGTTATATTGCCAGAAGGATTATAATGACATTTGTTTAAATTAAAAAATATTTCATTGTAATATTAAAGAACAAATGTCACTTTTTCAAAAATGGCATTGCTTTTGGATGTTGTTTATTGTACTATAACAGAAAGATCGGTGGTCTTCGGTATTTAGATGCCCAACTTTTTTTTGGAAATCAGTTTTTTACTAGCTTATATGAATATCGAGTTATGTGATGTTATTATGATGATTCACTTATCTACTTCATTCACTATTGATGCACTTCTTCTACATATCCACATCAGTGTGCCAGTCAATAATGTTGCCAAATAAAGTTCCAAAAACTTTAAAATTCGTATAGATTAAATATCTATGGCATGCATTTACTAGACAACGATTTGCTTGATCTGATGTCAAGTGCTATTTTTATCTTTATCACATTCAATTTTGTGGTATGGTTTTCTAATCGATGGTAAGCTATCAACAAATCTGTCTTTAAACAGAAACATCGCAATTGATGGATTTATTCAGTATATAAGCCTTGAATTGAAGGCTAGCTTAGATAATGTTACGACAAAAATTAATAAAAGAAACATTTAATTTTCTAGCATGGTTTGCTACCCTATAGTGACACATTAGTAAAGTTACTGAAATCTCTGCGTAACATCGCAATAAGATTACTAATTAAATTTCTTTTCGTAAGGATTAACCTCTAAATTAATATGTTAACCGAAAATGACATATTAGCTAATATACTATGTAAATGCAGTTATTGCGAAATAAAGGAATTCCTTTTGATAGGAGCTTGCTTGCACATAGCTAAGATAAAAATAATTAAATCTACTTGCATAGTTTGCACAGACTATCTACTATGAGAGTGCACTCATTGCATTCAGAAAAATATGCTTTAATCACACAATAGTTAAATTAATCTGCACATTTTGTTAGAAAAATTTTACTCATGTGGTAAAGAAGATATAAAAACTAACATGTGGTATGGTTGAAGCAACATGATGCACCGAGTAAGAATATTTTGACCTGAGATTTAATTAAAATCTGGTTAAATCATTTAAATTATTTTGCTGA